ACTCCAAATGCAACCCTAGATGCCTCCCCTCCTATAAATACCCAACACCCCACACCTTGTAAATACTTTGGAATATATGAATTTGAGTGAGCCTTTTTGTGCCTCAAATCCTCTCCTTAGTCACTAGGTTACCTTTGGCTAACCTTCTCCTATCTCCACCATTGGAGAGTGAGAACCCTAGAGTGGCCTCCATTTACCTTTGGAGTAGCCAACCGTGAGCAACCAAACACCTTTCACCATATGCTTCCGCCACCCTAAACACTATCTCTCGCCTAGCTTCCTTTTTCCACCATAAACCTCCCTTTGTCCTACCTTTGATGAGCCTAGATCAAGGGCAAGGAGTCTCCTTTCAACCATTGTCATCACCCATGGAAGGAACTACTCCATCAATTACTTTCAGAGAGGCGTAGATGTGTGTCCAAGACTAATTATGGACTAACATGGAAGGTAATGAAAACAACACTTTATTAGATATTTATATTGAGTGATTGTTATAAATTTTTAATGAACTTGTTCTCTTTTTCAAGCTCTTCAAAATTTAAATTGGAGAACATAGAACTTTATACAATGTTGCAAGATATGGACATTGATGAAGTTGGTAATTTCTTTCATATTTCATTCAAAAATAAAATTGTTAGTGATTTTTATTTGATTGTTTTTTAGGAATCAACCGGACAAAGTAGGGTTGTTGATTTGAACATTAATTAAAAAACTAATTCTTAAGATACTTTTGAGATTCTTTTGAATGTGATTTTATTGACTTTTGTAATTTTATTTAGATTTGTATAAATTTGATTTTATTTAGACTTATAATAGTGAAATATTATATTTTTTGTTATATTTGATTGAATATTTAAAATTTAATTTCTAAATTCACTTATTGTTACTAATATAATTGTGAAAAAATATTTGAATTTTAATTTTATAATTTTCAAACATGATTTCATTTGAATTTTAGTTATCATATTCAAACTTTTATGTTATACAAATCTTATTTTGCAGATTTTTATAACTTTAAAAAAAACACTATTACAAATAACTAAAATACATAATTTTAAATATTTTTAAGATATTTTTTTTTAGTATATACTCATGAGTATCCTTGAATATTTACAAATATTAAAAAAAGATGCAAATACCCATTTAACAATACCTATACAAATATAAGAACAAGTATGTGAAAAATATTTACTCAACAGAAAGAGTAACAAAGAACTTCTAGTCTTACTCATACACTCATACCCACACTGTCCGATTGGCACCCCTAATTGTGATTCACCATAAACCACATTAAACAGTTATTCACGGTAGCTTGCGTCGTAAATCGTAAGATTCTAATAACTAGCATAAACCACATTAAACAGTTGTTCATGGTAGCTTGCGTCGTAAATCGTAAGATTCTAATAACTAGAGTATACCAAGAAAAGTATCAATAAGATTCTTGGGGGGGGGGGGGGGGGACTGCGTG